GGGATTTTGAGCTATGTCGTAAGAGAATGGGGGAAGAGTATTAAAACTAACGACAAACGTTATTAACTTAACGGCTGACTTTCGCAGTCTTTAATTTGCCGAGTCAACATATAGTTGGGGCATTAAACTGCGCGAGTAATAGTTCGGTATTTAATTTGCCGATTGCAACTAGTTCAGGATTTAAAAACCCATTTTCCCCAAAAAGAACATTGTTTTTGTTATTATGGGCATTAATTTCCGGTTTTGAGTAAGTGCAATGTTTTTGGACCTGTATTCATTTTGGCATCATTGTGACTCTAATTTGGAGGTATCGTCTATGTCCTTACGTGCGTCATTGTTCTGCAAATTCCAAAGCTTCAAAATTTGGTGGTCATTAGGGAAACAATCTTATTGTTTTGACGGCAAATTTTGTTCAGTTACTGGATGTACTTGTACGCATTTCTTTAATGCTATAAAGCGCTAAACAGAAAACATACTCAAGGAGGAACAAATTTGATCAAAAAAAAAAAGGCAAGGAGGAACAAATCAAGCAGTAAAACAAATTTTAACTGGTGCTAAAACGACGTCGTTAGATAAGCATCGAAACGACACAGTTTCAGCCTCGAAGAAAAATATTGGCTGGAAAAAATATAGCCGTTAGAGAGAGGAGCCGAATGCAGAAAAAGAAAATAATCTTTATTCGAAATCTGACCGTTGTGAGAGACAATACATCGTCCCTTCTCCCTTTTTTAATCAGATCATCACACACTCTGAAAAAGAAGGAACCAAGAAAGAACCCTAATCCCATCTCTCTCACTCTCTTTCCTTAGTTCCCTGAATCGATTCGATATATCATGGAAGGAACAACTGCTTCCGCGGAGGAACCGGTCGTTAGCGTTCCGACGACGATCGTTGACCAGTCGTATGAGTTCTTGGCTCCGAGATGGTTCGATTTCATTAACGGAGAGACGGAGGACGAGGCTCGCCGTGCTGAGCTCTGGTTTGAATTGGCTTTAAGCTGCGCTCCTTCTCGTGAGTACCGTTTTCTTCATTTGATCGGTAGATCTTAGGTTTCGGAATCGTAGTCAGATCTAGGGGTTTGGAGTTAGGATTTGGTCTCAATTTCGTTGGGTAGTAATTAGGGTTTCTGTTGGAGAAGCGAAATTAGGGATTGATTGCAAATTGAATCAAGATTATGTTCAATGTTGTATTCATCATTTGTGTGTGTGTGTGTGTGTGCAGCATCGGTTCCTAGAATCAAAGCAAGGAGATGTTTCAAGGTAGAGACAATGTGTAACTTCAATGAAGAAGAAGAAGAAGAAGAAGATAAACCAATAAAGGTTTTTGCCTCGATCAACAATGATTTATCCGATTGATTAAACTTTTGCTTAGATTCAATTTTGTAATCCTTCTGAATATGCAGGATAAAGAGCCTTCAGAGCAAGAAGCTGCAACTATTTCTTCACAACCGGAGACTGATATTATCTCTGAGGCCAAGGAAGGAGAAGTTGTTGATACTACTGAAGCAAGCACAATTAAGCCATCTCAGAGCTGTTCCAAGGAAGCAGCAGATGCAAGGTTATTTATGTATCCTTCTTTGGGAGTTTGTAATGGTGTTTTAGTGAGGTGGAGGATGTTCTAATACTCTTTCTTTTTGTTCATTCAACAGCAATACCAGGGACAAAACGCCTAAGCAGATTGAAAACAAGGAGAACATTCCTCCATCTAAGACAGAAGCTTGCACACCCAAACCACCACTGCAGTCATCTCATGGAGGAAAGTCAATGGACCTTAAGAAGCAGCAAACTGCTAGAAAGATAGCTAGTCTGCTGAGGAATCCATCTGCACTTAGGTCGAAAAATCAGTCACACTCGTCTCAACTGAAAGGAACTAATCAGAAAAGTGTGAAGAGGTACACTCTTAATAAACATTCCGATAACAGAATCTAGTTTCATGTTCATCTAGTAAACGTTTTGTTATGTGTTATGATGCCTCCTTGCAGGGAAACGAGTCCCAAGAACATAGCTGGCACTACCAATCTGACTCAGGATAATCAAGCCATCAAAAAGCAAAAGCTAGATGATGGAAAATCAAGACAGGTGAGCCAACATTTTCAATAACTGCAAGCTAATCTTACATATATCTCACTGCATGACTGACATTGTTTTTGTAGATTCTAAATCCTAAACCACCAACTCTGCTCCACAAGACAAGACAAGGTCTCGTTAACACTGGCTTAAATGTATGCCCTTCAGTCACTAGGCAAACTCCGAAGGAGAACAGAAGGGTACGTCTCTGCCTCATGGATGCTTATATAAGTTTTTTTGACAGGTCCCGGTTCTCAACTCTTATGTTCACTCGTTAGGTTTATGTCCGTGAGCAAGTTGCTCCTTTCATGTCAACTGCTGAATTGATGAAAAAGTTCCAAACAAGCACGCGAGACTTGTCACTGCCTCATGCCAACATTTCTCTACCACAGGTAGACTCTTGATACTTCCTCTGATTCTTTTTCTATTCTTGCAATATCTTCAATTAACTTTCAGGACGCTGCTTTCCTTGTGCAGAACCGAACTAAGTTGACACTGACAAGACCTAAGGAGCCCGAATTTGTGACATCCCAACGAGCTCGTCCTGTAAAAGTGAAGAGCAGTGCAGAGCTTGAAGAAGAGATGTTGGCAAAGATTCCCAAGTTTAAAGCTCGACCTGTGAACAAGAAGGTAATGAATGCATTTGGTTTCACTATGGTGTATATATACCTCATACAGAGAAATCTAAAACAAAACAATGCGTTCTCTTTTTGATGCAGATTTTGGCAGCTCCAGCTTTGCCTGCGCCACAAAGAAGCACACCACAACCGCCCGAATTTCAGGTAGAGACAGACATTCAGAGAGTATCATCATTTTAGAAACGAATCTGTTATTGATCTAGAAGAGACTCATATCTTACTATTTGCAGGAATTTCATCTTGAAACAATGGCTAGGGCTAGCCAACATGCAGAAACATCTTCAATTGCTTCAACAGAAGTGTCTAAGCAGGTATGGAACTTATTCTTTGGCTGCATAAATGTTTTATGTATGCATATAACACATGGTACTTGGTTTCATGCCATCTGATATGCCTCTGTTTTCATTGCACCCAGCATAATGATTGTAGGCCTCACCTTACTGCGCCAAAGAGCCCCGTGCTCCAAACGATGCTTAGAGCTCGTCCTACTAAAGCAAAAACAACTGCGGAACTTGAGCAAGAGGAACTAGAGAAAGCACCCAAATTCAAAGCAAAACCTTTAAACAAAAAGGTACTAAACAAGTGATATAGCTTACTACATATCACTTAAGAAGGCACCATATATCTCGATCTAATTTGTAAGCACATAACACGTCCAGATATTTGAAAGTAAAGGAGAGATGGGCATCTTTTGCAACAAGAAGAAGCACATAACCATACCTCAAGAGTTCCACTTTGCTACAGATGAGAGGATATCTCAGCCATGTTCTGTTGTAGATATATTCGACAAGGTATTGTACATTTCAACTACCTGAACCTGCTTTTATGCACGTGTTATGTTCCACTGGATATCATCGTGTTTGACAGAAATTCTTCTTCTTGTCAGCTCTCACTGTCTTCTGACTCTTGCCATGAAAAGCCTCTACTAAGGCACACTGCTCCAAACCCCTTCAATCTAAGGACAGAAGTATGTACTACTGGGAACAACTTCTTTGAAGTCAATAAGTGACTTGAAGCCACCAAATTTTACTGACCGTTCGTTTTATTACTTTGTGACATCCAGGAACGAGGCGCTGAAAAGGAGAAAAAGTTTGTAATGGAAATCACTGAGAAGCTGATAGGAGATGAAAGGGCCAGAGTTCCAAAAGCAACCCCATATCCTTACACAACCGACTATCCCGTGGTATGCAATGCCTCATGCCTCCCTTGCTTTATTTTTTTTTAGTTGCGAAAGAGATGTATAGTGTTGAAAATCTACGTGTTCCAACTCTTAGGTACCACCAAAACCAGAGCCCAAGCAGTGCACAAAGCCAGAACCGTTCCAGCTAGAGAGTCTGGTGAGGCACGAAGAAGAACTGCGAAGAGAAAGGGAAGAGAGGATGAGAATGGAGAGAGAAGAGTCTCAGAAGAGACTCTTCAAAGCACAACCAGTTATAAAAGAGTAAGTGATGATCCCCTTTTGCTATTTTGATATCTCCAGTAATTTTACTAATGTTTATAAAAAAGCTAACTATAGCTTGTAATGAAACACAGGGACCCAATCCCTGTTCCAGAGAAAGTACGAAAGCCTCTCACAGAGATTCAGGAGTTCAACCTCCATGTAGAGACTCGAGCTGTCGAGAGAGCAGACTTTGATCACAAAGTAAGGGTTGTATGTCATTTCAACAATTAAAGGAATGCTTACATAAGGTCTAAACTGACAGTTTTGTATCATTTTCTATGGAACCAGATCAAAGAGAAGGAGAATCAATACAAGAGATACCGTGAAGAGAGTGAAGCTGCAAAAATGGTATGCAAACACAGACACCTAACTTGTTAATATCTCTCTCTCACAAACTTTGCTCAAATGTAATAATAAACTTGAAAAACGTTTATCAGGTGGAGGAAGAGAGGTTTCTGAAGCAAATGAGAAAGACTATGGTTCCTCATGCTAGACCTGTGCCTAACTTCAACAAACCCTTCTTACCTCAGAAGTAAGTTCCCATTCAATAAAAAGAAAAAAAAAAGACAAATCTTCTCTTGTTTTATAATATAACCTACTGATTATTAAAACATTATGTCAAATACAGGTCCAACAAGGAGATCACGAAACCAAAGTCCCCAAATCTTAGAGTGGTCAAAAGAACCGAGAGAAGAACTATGATGGCTCCTCCACCAACTGTGTCTGCAGCTACCAGTGCTTCAGCTGGTCAGATGAGATAGTTTGCAGCAGACTTATCCCTGAAAATGTTCATGAATGCTTGAACCTACATTCATTCCCTTAGGACTTACTAATACAGTAGTAGTACATTGTCTCATGTGTCCTTTTGTTCAAATGTATTAAACTTGAAATGATTATTGTAATGACATTCTCTTATGTGTCCTAATTCAAATATTCAACATTCAGATAACACAAGTATAAGACCCATGTCAAAAAAGAAAGAAAGTGTTTGCTCTTATCCCCACAAACAAGATAAGCTTAACATAAAATATCCAAAAGCAGAAACAGATTTTTAAGTTTTTACAATCAATAGACACAGGTCAAGAAAATGCAATTTCTTTTTGTTACCTGTTACTATGTATGCTAACAAGATATTCCACAAGTCTGCTCACGCGAGCCTTCCTAATACTCTTACTATCAGCTCCTTGGTTATGATTCCCTTGGTTATGATTCACTTGTCTTATGTTACTCCTTCTGCCGCCACTTCCCCATGCAAGCCCATCTAATATTGCTCTACAGTCTCTATGATGCGCCTCCTCTGTGACATTATTAGCATTGTTGTTTGGACCTGAAGAAGAAGAAGGGTGAGCTGTAGAACGAGTTGCAGAGCGTCTTTTTCGTTTTCTCGGTAGTATTTCGGCAGAAGGGTCAGCTGAAGATGAAGAAGTTATGCCTCTGTTGTTATCACCAGCATCACCATGGGCTTGTAATGTTACCCGTTCCACGTTTCTGCTCCTCCTCCTTCTTCTGGAGCCACTTCCACTAGGCTGTGATCTCGGTAAGACCTCATCTTCACCAGAAGACTTCATTTTCACAAGGGCTTCAGATTGTCGTTGCGATACTTGAGCTATAGATTCTTGAATCTACAAAACAGCAATAGAAGCACAAGTTGTAGTAGAAGCATTAAATGTACTTAAGAAATGGCAAGGCATCGTGTGTCTGACCTGCTTATTATGAGCCAACTCATCTTCATCAAATTCCAAATCCTGAAATGAAAAGCATATGACAACAGGAACATCTCATAGTCAAATCGTTTTCTCTGTAATCTAGAATGATTCAAGGAGAAAAAAAAATAAAAGTGTAAATGCTTCACCTGCTCCTCATAACTATCGATATTACCGAATGTAGCTGCAATAAAAGCATCAAATAATGGGTCGGGTCTTGTTGAACGTCGGCTGGCACAATGTTTTCTGCAGGCAGGACACTCATGGTTCCTGAAAATGCAATTTTTTTTGCCAATTAATAAAACTCACAACAAGCTTTACGGATAATAATAATAGTAAACATGTAAATAGAAAGCATACCCCTGTCTCATTGACTTATCAATGCACTCTTGACAAAAACGATGGAGACATCCCATGACAGTCCTTGTTTTCCTTATAATTCCTGCAAAAAAAAAAACAGGAGCATGAGAAAAGTTGACAATGTAAGATCAATAGCAGTGACAATAATATAAAGGTGTAGAAGAGAAAGTACCTAAACATATTGGACACTGCACGTGCTTACGGATATCCTCTAGCTCAACATCTTCCACAAATCTAGATTCATTAAAAGTCAGAGATATACTTACTGTAAGAATACTCATGTTAAGCTAAAAGAGATTCATAGCTTAAGACAAATGGAAGGTAAATCATTTTAAAGATCAATCTACACAATGTCAAACTCACGTACTAGAGATCAACCCTAATCACAATGCCACTTGAACTGTAAACTTTGTGATATTTGAGTAGAAAACATGATAGTAATTATACCATGCAAGCAAGAACCAGTACAATGCATCGGATCAATTTCATACTCGTGTTTGTTAACCTAACAGAGACTCATGACACATGAAGCATACTCGTTTTTACTCCCCTGCTAGTAATCAAACGTAAGCACAATGGCTCTTGAGCTATAAAACGTGATATCTGAGTAAAAACATGATAGTAACTATACCATGCAAGTAAGAACCATCAAATAGACTAATAATCAGAAAAGTCAAAATCTGGTAATGGTACAGAGAAACAAGTAACAAATGGTAGATATATTGTTGTTACTCTAATTCTGATTCCTCTTCTGATGTAGAAGATGGACTTGTCTCCTCGGGATCTGCATTTGATCAAAGAAGTCGATCACTTTCACGTTTATACATACACATATATAATGGTCTCACATATACTATCACATACGTATCCACGAGTAATATGCAAACTAGAAACGAAAATGTTTACCTTCTTCTTCCTCTGATTCTTCTGTTTCCATGACATCCATTTGGTTCGGATCTTCTTCTTTCTCCTCAGCTTCTGGGATTCGACCAAGTTGGTCGTCTTCTTTCTCGGCGGCGGCAAAGTTGTTCAAAGCAGACATTGTTTTATGGTTGATACAAAGTGATCTTTGAAAACAGACAAAGCTTGAGCCTTTCTCTCTTGCTTGTGGTTTGCTTTCTTCTCTGCCTATGGTTCGGTGCCAAAGGAGAAGGAAGGCTGACGAAGAAAACAGAGAGACTTTTCTTCACCTTTTCCTCTGTTTATTATTTATTTATAATAGATTTTATATTTGTTATTTTAATATCATAATCTTCAGCCTAACCTTTTTGTTTTTACTTCTAATCACATACTTATTTGGGTGAATAGATGGAGCTTTCTCATCCAAGCAATGGTGATCTTTATACCTATACAATAAGATAGTTCAATCAAAATCTGAAAAAAAATCTAGATAATTATACAGATTTAGCATTTAAGACCAAATTTACTTTGTTTAACCTCGTGCATTTCACCCGCTAATACACTGACAAATATATTCTTTTTCAAACGATGTCGTTTAAAAGTAGGTTTCAACAAATCAAAACGTTATCGTTTTAAATATTAGGTTTGATATTGTTCTCTCTATATTTATTATTTTATATTTATTTCCGTATATTATCATAAATTTGATTTTTTTTCTTCACATTCTTAATCTATTATTCATAAATCTTTAGCATGATTGATAAATATTTTTAATCTATTATTTATAAACCTTTTTTAACACATTGATAAATGTAGTAGAAATACATTTTTAGTAACAAACAAATGATTCAAAACAAAAATAACTTCATTATACAGCATTTTTAAGTTTTTTTTTTTTTAGCATTTTTAAGTTAGTCTAGTGTAATTAAAAATTTTAGGTTTTCTAACTTAACAATTTATCCAAAAAATAGGTTTTTAAAGCTTACCTATAAACTTTGTGAGGGTTGCATATATATTCCTTTTCGGCTTATTATATAATCTCTTTTGGAAGTGGTTAGTGTAATGAGGGGAATAACGAATTTAGATCCAAAGATGTGTATATTGATGATACGAAGCGTCGAGGTAAAACGTCGCACATGTCGTCGGGCATCTTCTCGTGTGTTAAGCCCTACTCGCCAACCCATTTTGCATTATCTCCAATCTTTGAATTACATGTGACGCATGTGTGTGTAAAACTATTATTACGCACATCATACTCCAACACAATAATCAAGATTAGTATAAAATTATTTATATTAGCATTTGTAAGTGGAGCAACCTAAATTCAACAATGATAAATCTCGTGTTTATACACATAAATTATAAATTATAAGAGCATGATTAATAGGAAAATTTAAGAATGTGATTCTCAGCGGAGCATGATTAATAAGAGATTTTTTTTTTAATGATGGATTGTATTATTAAGTCATTTAGGCAAATAATTTTACACAATGAGAATTGGCAAAAACAATATAGAAAAAGGATACATCAGTAGGGATCCAAAGTAAATTAACACATTTATTAGCGTATGGATGACTAAAAATTTCCATGTGAAATAAGAAATTTCAATAAAAGATTTTAAGAATGTGATTCTTAGCAGAATATAAGAAATCGTCTCTTAATTTTTAACTTAAAAAATTAAAAATCTTTTTTTAAATGTCTTATTTAGTCGGTTTTTAGATTTTTTTAATTAAAAATTAAGAGATATTTTTTCGCTAAAAAACTTATCTTAAGAACCCTCCATAATCATGTAATCATGTTAGAACATTACTTCAAAAATAATAATTTCATATCTATTTATAGAAACATTATTTGGGCCATAATAGATGCAAATTGTTTAATTGGGCCATAACAGATGCAAATTGTTTAATTGGGCCATAACAAACCGGCCCACAAAATTCAGTATAAGAAATAAAGCCTTTTTTGTGTAGTAGACTCACTTCCCTCTCGATTTTTATTTTTTTCTTCTTTCTTTCTCTCTGCAGTCGCTGTTACTTGAACCCTTACCGGAGAATGGAGCCGCCGCAGAAGAAGGGAACAGTGACGCCTTTAGGGTCGTTATTCTCAGAGGAGGAGGCAAGAAAGGCAGCAAGCTACGTGGAGGAGAGAATCAGAGAGAAGAGGGAAGAGATGAATCGTCTTCAACAGTTCGTCGATGAAAACGATAATCTCATTAGTCTCGTCAAGAAGCTCCCCGAGAAGCTTCATCACAACGTTATGGTGAGTTTGAATCCACTCAACACCGTCCTTTTAGATTCTAATTTTCGTACTCGTTTTTGATGAATTTTTTTTTGACACAGGTTCCCTTTGGTAAAAAAGCGTTTTTTCCAGGTCGGTTGATTCACACCAATGAGTGTTTGGTAAGTAAACCCTAGAAGCTTACTGTGAAGTTCGCTTTAAAACTTAAGCAAATGATTTGTTTTGTTTGGGTGATTTTTTTGTAATAAGGTGTTTTTGGGAGAGAATTATTATACGGACAGAACATCGAAGCAGACAGTTGATGTTTTGAGGAGAAGAGACAAGACTCTACAGTCTCAAATTCATTCTATTAAAGCTGAGATTGATGATTTTCAAACGGAGGCTTCCTTTTTTGCTAATACTGCTTCAGAAGTAGCGGTATGTTTCTTTAAATGTGTTTATTTGGTGCATTATCCTTTTTAAGTGGTGTTGTCACACTTTTGTGTGTGTTTTAATAGGAAGGACTTCTTGAGATAAGAGAAGAGTATGAAGATGAAGAAGAAGAAGTTTCTTCAGCAACTGTGCCTCAGCCAGGTGTTAAGAAAGAGAGTTCTGGTTTTTCTGGAGAGGAGACTGCAGAAGGTGAAGTTGAAGATGATGAATTTGCTCGGATCATGTCCAAGTTGAATGAACTTGAAATGGAAGAAGAACAGGAGGATGAAGATGGGGAGGATAAAAGTGAGGAACATGACTCTCCTGTAGAAAGTGTGGAGGATATGGTGAAGGGTCTTGGAGATGAAACAAAGACACAAGAAACCACCGTATCTGTTCTTGAGAAGGTGTCAGGCCATAGCTCTTCTGTTGGTGAACCGAGATATTCAGAGGTAAAGCAAATTTCACGTCTGGATTCATGTTTATGGTTATTGTTTTTTTTCCCTCATAATAATTTCTTACTGTTGATGCACAGACAAGAGTCAAAGCAAAAGCTATTCATGTATTACCAGAGACACAGCCACACAAAGATACATCTGATCCGTCGACAGTAAGAAAATCCCTTTCATTGTGATCTTCTCGTCTTTTATTCTTGTCCAGCTTCTTCTCTTAATTGTCCTATGATTGCATTCTGGCAGTGTATTGGACCGAAGCCACAATATATCAAAAAAGGTTTGTTTTATGATCCAAAAGCAGTTCATACATCAGGAGGTGACTTCATTGTCGAACTAAAATAAAAATAATCTTCCATTCTCTAACCAACATCCAATGTTCTTTGTATTACCAGAAGATCAATCGCGTGGTGGAATACCTCAGCAAAACGCTGAAACATGGAGAGACTTTCAAGCAACCTCCGCTGTCTCCAGAGTAAAAGTAAGTTCCAGTGTTGTAGGTCCACAAAAGATTGAGGTATAACGATCTTATACTGTAAGCTATACTCAAATAAATAAGTTCTGCAATCGAAATACAGCTTTACATTTTGCTATATTTCTACAAACATAACGTAACCATTAACAAGAATCTCACAAATGATCATGTCAACTTTTTTTTTGGTGCAGTCTATACAGAAACCGGAGGCCAAGTTTGATACTAACAAGGTTACATTTGCCTTCCGTTCAAATCTTTTCTATTAGTATAGTTACTCTGGCTGATCTAATATTCTCCTTTAAGCTCGCTAAATATCTTGGTCCAAATCGTGTAGGCTTTTACTGGATCGATCGTGGAACACACCCATAATATGCAGGTATGTTTCTACCATACGACACCTCGCAAAGCTGAAATTCTTATTGCATGTTTTTGTTTGTTTAGCAGCCTTCAGGGTTTCAGCCACCAAAACCAGTCTCAAGATTCAGGGCACAGAGAAGGTAGCAAGGAGTGTGGCCTATCCACAATTTTGTTTGGTTTGTCTTCTGATATGTAAGAAGTAAGAACACATGCATGTGTGTGTGCGTCTTATATACAGTTAACTAGCCAAATCTATATCAGGAAGTTTGAAACTTGACTCTGTCTTCAAGGTCTGTTTGAAAGTGTGTAATCAGTCGCTTTGTGAGAGAAAAATTTGAAAGAAAAGTTACAGTCGTAATTTTGAGAAATTTTAGAAACTTAACTGCTGTTATTCGAATTATTAGAAAATAAGAGGCCAAAGTGCAAATTTAAGACCTGTTCCGGTGAAAACGGTGTCGTTTTAACACCGGGCTCAATCTAACTAAAGCCCAATTTATACTTTTGATTTGATATGCATATAGACACTTTACCCGATACCTGAACTTGTACCCGAACCCGATCGAAATATTTGAGCTGAAATCCAAACCGAATTAGCAAAATACCCGAATGGAAATTGAGTTAAGAGAGTTTAGATATCCGAATCCAAACATATAATATCCGAACCCGAATGGATATCCGAAAATAACTAAACATATGCATATATACATAATTTATTCTTAGTTTATTTATTTCATTTTATTTAAAATACTTATATTAGTGTATATAGCTATAACTTAAGATCAGATAATATACATATAACTTAAAAAGTGATTTTACTATTTATTTAAAATGCATGTTAAGCTTTTTTCATGTGTTTAACAAAAGTTGCATTGTGTGCACACAAAAAAAAGTTGCATTGAAAATAACAACCAAATTAATAATTTTATATTTTTAATAATTTATTTTTAAAATTAGTATTCGTTAACTTATTAGGCATTTAAAAACAATTAAGTTAATAGTAGGATTTTAAGTACATAAAACTTAAATAATGAAAAACTTGATTTTTTTCTTTGAAAATCTAAATATCTGAAATCTGGCCCGAATATCCGAATCCGAACTTAAAATATTCGAACCCGATTCAATATGTAAAAATATCCGAATAGATGCTAAATCCTAATATCGAAATAGCTGAAAACCCGAAATACCCGACCAGACCCGAATGGCTACCTAAACGCCAATTCTTATGCATGGCTTCGTGAGGCCGTCTTGAGACTGGGCTGAATCTACCTAAAGCCCAAACAATACTTTTGTCCTAACATTAAAGTGTTTCTTGTTCATGTCCAATCAAAGCAAAGCCCAAATTGTACTTTTGTCCGAACATACTTTTAGGTTTAGGGTTTCAAGTTCATCTTCTTTATATACTTCGGTCTTTCTATGTAATTTCATATCACCGAGATAAGACGCCAACTTCTATTCTTTACCAATGATTTTTTTTGTTCTCTCAGATTGTTTTCGTTTTTCATGTTAATTATTTGGTTTTTCAAAGTGTTTTTTGAAGAAAGTGATGAAAGTTGTAGATCGGTGATAATCTTTTGATTCATGATCGTTAAAAATTTCAACTCGCTACGTTCTTTCTGATTCTTATAACTTGCTTCTTAATTTATTTTGAAAAGTTAAAAGTTTCTTCTGGTTATGTTTTTTTTTGATTCAGTTCAAATCGGTTTTAGATATTTTCGACGATGGTAATAAACTGGAGAAGTGATGATAAATCAGTTAAATCTTAGGACACCTTCTGACACATTAATGTGTATGAGAATGACTTCTAATATTCTGATCTTCAGTTTTATATTCTTTTTCATCTGGTGTTTTAATCTCAGTCATTTGTTTTTGTTATACCAATTAATATGTTCATGACATGATTAAATTAATTGACCAGGAGGATTTAGCTGGAAATTGAAATCTGAAGAATCTAGTAATCTCCAGTGCCAATGAGACTGATTGAATTGATATGTATAAAGAGAATCTAGAAGTTATCTATACTGGAATGAGATTATGATAAACGCTGACTGATGTAGTCATATGTAAAGGACTGTAGAGGGGATTTCATATGTATTTACACAAATCAAGCTCAATAATGACACAATACAATGATTTAATTAAGCAATCCCGGCCTTTTTGGCCGTAATCACCATAAAAAGATGGAATAATTCAAATATATGAACCACCATATACTATGACTGTATCTTACTCGACTGGTTCTGCTTTTTCCGTTCGGGCAAGCTCGTTCACTCTAGTTTTGAACTTAAAAAATATAGTCAAGTCTTCTGAGCTTGTCTTTTGAATTCCTGAAGCTGTCTGTCATGTTCTTCAAGCATCTGATCTACTCTGCTTGGCTGTTCCAACAATGGTCCAGACATGTAAATCTTGCTATCACTAGGATTATACTGTACACATAGAAACACAACAATAAGTTAACAATTGCTGCAAAAAGGAGAGAGAATAAAAAAAAGAGAACAACATTAGACTAACCCAAGATGGGTCGATTGGTATTGTCATATGTCTACTATCCATAGTGTCAGCTCTATTGTAAGCTCGTTTATCTCTTCTTCTTTGATTCCTCACTGGTTCATCTAATAACGCCTTGGAGGAGACTGAGCCTGATAATATCTTGGGGTTTGCTCTTGATGGAGGGTAACTGGTAGGAGGTGCATTCTCCTTTACATACATTGTTGTTGACCTATCAATGTTCTTGTTGCTCATCAATGGACCTGAGTGTGAAACTCTCTCACCAGTTTCATTGTTTCTGGTTTGCATATTTGGACCATGAGAAGTCTTCTCTTCCTTAAACGACTTGAAACTCTCGTTTCTGCTCTTCAAATCTAGGTGTGGTTTCTGCATCTGCCACACACAAGACACAAGAAAATTTTGCTTTGCAGTTTAAGAACCTTTACGTTTACACTGCGACATAGAAAGCTTCTAAGTTACTTACATTCATTGACATTGATAGAGAGTGGTTTAATTTTATCGGTGGGACAACTTTTCTCTCATGTGACCTTCTCCCTTGAGAGTCTTGCCTTTCTTGTTTCTCAGCCCTCATAGGTCGTTGCCTTTTCTCTTCATCACGCAGTTTAGCATCAATCTCTTTACTTGGAGGATACTTTGGTAGAGAAGATGGATCACAACCAAACGGCTTGGTCTTAAAGTACTGAACAAAAAAAAAAGAGCGTTGTGACTAAATATGACCAAGAACAGAGTAAAAACATCAAGAACATCAAGAACCAGTTACCTCACTCTCAAGAGCACTACTTGCAGAGCTCCTGTGATCAGGATCTATAGATAGCAACGTCTCTAAAAGTAAAAGAACACTCTCAGGAAAGTCCTTGTACATCTCAGATAGTTTCCGTCTATAAGGAATTGAAGTTCTGAATCCAGATGAAGACGGTAAGTTATGTTTTCTCCAGTAACTTTCTGTTGGTGAACCGCATAGCTTGAAGATCTTATGCAACTGTTCTACCTAGAAACATCAACCTCTACAATTAACAACATGCAACACCCATTTTTAAGTAGGAAATGAATGTGAATTTTACCTCGGTTTTTCCAGGTAGGATTGGTTTACCAGCATATAATTCACCTAAGATGCAACCTGTGCTCCAAAGATCAACCCCAACACCGTAATGAGAAGCTCCAAGCAAAAGCTCTGGTGGTCGGTACCAAAGAGTAACAACATGGCTAGTCAATGGTATAGCTTTCGCAGGGTCGAAAAACGTTGCTAATCCAAAATCTGCAATCTTCAAAACTCCATTACTATCAATCAGAAGATTTGAGCCTTTGATATCTCTATGAAGAACACCACGGCTGTGACAATGTTCAAGCCCACTTAGAAGTTGTCTCATGTAACACTTAACCTAAAACAACATAGACACATGAAAAGACAACTTAAACCTAACACAAACTCTAAACTTTTTTAGAGTAGCAAAGCATTAGTACCTGAGGCTCTGTGAAATTGACACCGGGGAGGGAAGAAAGTCCTAAAAGATCATGATCCATGTACTCAAAGACTAAGTAGAGTGATGATGAAACAGGTGCAGTGATCAATCCTTCTAGTTTCAGGACATTGGGATGATCAAGCCGTCTCATTACTATGATCTCTCTCGCCATAAACTTGACACTTTCTATATCATTAAGATCAAACCGGACTTTCTTTAGTGCAACGATCTTGTTGTGAATGAGATCACGAGCCCTGTAGACGCTGCTATATGTTCCTTGACCAATCTGCATCCATGAAAAAAGTAAGTTCTAACTAAACAAAAAAAAAACACAGGATTTGGATAACATACTTTCTCAAGTTTCTCAAAGGTACTTGCTCGCCTTGGAGACCAATCAACTAACGCCTCACCAGCAACAGAGATTAGCCAAGTAGGCCATCCTGCTGACACTTGCCTTAACTCTGTCTCCTTTGGAACAGAAACAACACTCAGCTTCTTACTCAATCCTCGAGGAACAACACCTTGAACCGAAGCTTCAGTCCCATGATTCTCTAGTTCCTCGTCACTCTGATGATTACCAGACAACTTTTCGGATTCAATCAACCTAACTTTGGTACTATTCCACCTATCTAGCTTCGGTTCTATGACCTTTATATCAATCTCCAAATCTGGTTTCACAACAGCACTTGGGACCCTCCTCATTTCTTGGTCAGGAACAGTTTGTTCCAAGTGATTAACTAACTCAGAATGCTCAAGTATCTTCTCAACCTGATGATCATAGTAATACCTATTTGAGCTCAACATTTCGGATTCAATCAATTTATTATCTTTGGCGTCTCTCCTGCTACTACTACTTGATCTATCAATAACACTTTCTGGTTGGATCCATTCTTCTATCCTCCTCGACGAATCAAACCGCGAGGAACGTTTCACCTGTGACTCTTTCACTTTAGACTTACTTCTTCGAAAAGGTTTATTATGTTTAGAACTTACGCAACCCATCGTAAGCTCTAAACCAAGATTCTATTACACACATAGACATACACAAACCATTCAACAGCAAAAACTTGATGCTAATGAAACAGAGACAGACAAACAGAGCAGACACAACTCCTTCAACGGCTCAGCGCAAAACCCAAATCACAAAAACGAGACTTTTCTCATTCTTTGGAAGCTCACAGACACTGTAAGGTACCCTGAAGAGATAAACAGAGATCAGAGTGGAAAAGTCGAGACCTTTCGCCGGAATTGAGTGACTGGATCAAGAGAAAACTCAGAAACAGAGGATTTTTTTATTTTACCTGGAGAGATTTGATGATAAGACTGACTTTTATTCGTGAACGTTGAGTGGAATCAAAGAGGGGGAAACGAAGAGAAGAATCTCTAATGCAATAGGAGAGATTTTTTGTTTTTTTTGCTGTTGGTGTTGCAGATTTGACTAATTAAACGCTTACGTACAGTGATGTGAACACCATTGATGTAATAATAATAGAGATGTAATAAAGACTTATTAATAGCTTAGAGTCAAATGTTCAATAACTAACTCAGCCGCCCTTTGTGCTTTATTTTCAGATGTTTAGTGAAAAATGAAATTTGTGACATAATGTTTATATTTTGTGTAATATAATTTGGTTTGGTCAAGTTGGCTGCTAGATGAAATTACAAGTTGAATTTTAGAAGACAGAAAAATACCTTTTTAAGTCTTAGTCACAAGACTGATTTGTATCGAGTTATTTGACAACTCTTTTTGTTTAGTTTACTCCAACAACTATATCGTTTGTAAATTCACCGATATCAAAATCACAAGTTCTCTGGATGGTATGTTGTTACTTTAAAAAAAAATTAAATAGGTTCTTGACTTGATTTAGATTATCCACATTGAAATTATTAAATCATGATCAATAAATAGCATAAAAAATAAGAGCAGTTTTAGACCCAAAAAAAATAAGAGCAGTTGTTAAGGACCATACGGATAATGAACAAGAAAGTAATCACGAGTATAAAAAGAAGTCTAGAATTGTGATTTGGAAGACATTGTTTGACTGGGATATATACATAAATATCAAGTTGGCAAATGCATAGTTTATACTTTATAGTCTAATACTTAGTACATATTTTAACATAGTTAGCTCACACGAACATGGTTAATTCATTTACTTAATTACTTTCTTTTGATAATAAACGACCTCTTACCTGTAAACGAGTTCAAAACTGTTTACAAGAGTAATTAGTTGAGGAAGTTGGCGAGTTTATGAAGAAAATTTTGATATTAGAGAAAGACATTACTGTCTAATAACATGTGTTTAAGTGGAGCGGTCGAACATGGTCCTAAATATAAATAAAAATAAAGAAAAAATAAGGAAAAAATGAGGAAAAAATAAAAAAAAATTAAGAAGTTTTAAGAAATATATAGATAAATTATGACAATTTTTTTTTAAATTAGATATATTGCTAGATTAGAATTTATAATTTTTAAAGAAACATCAAACATAAATATTAACTTTTAATTTTTTGCATTAAATTATAAATATATCGTTAATTTTTTTTTGAACATGATCTAAAATATATTTGAGACGGCCCTGGAGAAAGACTTAATTCATTTACTTAATTACTAAGAAGTAGGAAAGCTATAAAGTATAATAGAATGTGATATATTATTGTGTTGGGTCTAATATGAGAATACAAGATGCATATATATAATAGTAACTTAATATAATGATAACATTAATATAATGTTAACACTAAATAATGATAAGTTTCTTAAATACTTAATGTAAATATGCTAAAAATATCTTGAAATTAATTTGCTTCTTTTAGTCTCGAGAATTTTTATGGGTTTCATGGGATTCATAATCTTGATCCGTAAGATACATATCTTCCGGCTCGACATATCTCTAATAAAAATGAAATGCACCTGAAAGAATTCATATGAATATAGTATACATATATGCATGCGTAAGCATGTATATTAAAGCTAACGAATGAAAAATAGACGAATAACGTTAAAATAAAGTAATTCATTAATGAAAACTGGAAAGTGGGGGTGTAAAATCAATTAGTCATTTAAACATCCAAAAACAAAAATAACTTGAAAGGATCAATTTGCAACATATGACTTATGATGTAAATAGCTTGAAGGGATCAATTTGCATCATATGACTTATGATGTTGTTTTTTATTGATCTTGAGACGGCCCTGCCGCCAGAGATAACCCAACAATTCAAGATCAACCACAATATGAAGGAGGGGGTAAGTGTTTAAATTAGTAACATTATTATTTGTTTAATTTTAAGGTTGATATATGTTAGTTTGATATCATTTGTAATGCATATATAAATTGTATATTGGGGAAAAATGTTATTAGGCGGACCTACCTCTACTATATAATAAATTATATATGTTGAAGGAATTTGGAGATGGAAGCGAGATGTCTCAAGACTGGAGAAAGACCCGAATCGCAATTGATAGTCATCAAACATAAACTAGGTACATATAATAACGCTTCATATGCTATTCTAATAACTAATACACAACAATATTTGACTAATATATATATGGTTTACAAAAATGTGATCATTAATTGTAGAGATATGCTGGGCCATAGTTTTGACATACATGCTCCAAGCAATTACGAACATAACCAATCCCAATGATTTCGTGGAGTTCTCTCACCAAGATCTGGTTGTGCATTTGAAGTTGAAGAAGTAAACAACGAAACAAGCTCAAACAGCGCTGAAACTTACAAACCTTCAAAAGGCGATTGACCATATAGCAAAAAAATGACTGCTTAAAGAGAAGAGTTCGAGAGCTGCACATGTATCTTGTTTAATGAGCCACTAATTGATCTATTTCGTCTATGTAGTTTTGCTAGCTTGATTAGTTTAATTAGTGTTTTATGACAAGTAATTAATCGCACAATAATTAGATATCTTGTTCAATATGAGCCTTTAACTAATATACTAGTGTTTCCTTCTTAACCCTAATGAATTCAATCAAAAATTTGAGTAGCTCAAATGTGAACCTGTTTTGAACAATTTTTGTACTATCCAAATCTGATATAAAATCTAGAGAACTTGTTTAAAAATTTACAAAATTAAATTTAGTTTATCATTAGTCAACCCAAATAATCCAAACTCATACTTAATATGGTTCTTAGTATGTTATCATGATGAGTAAACCTTTAATGTATGTGTTTGAGAGACAAGATGCGATGTTTAAGATATTTTCTGAAAAATTAGTAAATGAGTTTCAACAAATGTGCTCTTTTTTTTTTTGGAATTAAAGGAAGGACCCTTTTGGTTTTGTCACCTCACTCTTCTCCTTATTTAAAAGATCTCACTTTTCAAATGAATTTTCTATATAGTATACTCACACTATTTAGCTGACTTCACAATCGTTTTTCTTTAATATAGAAGATATGGGAAATAATGATTTATCTCCGTAACGAGTTAGTTTGATTATCAGTTGTAATGTGTATATAATTGTATATTGGACTGGCCTCTAACTAAATAATTAGTTATATATATGTATAACGAAATTATTTGTAGCAGCAGTTATTAAGAAGATAGATGATTATAAGAACAATCATAATTAAAAATGAAAATCTTAATTTCCTAGCAAAACCATGGACATTTCTGAAGCGAATATTTTATTACTAGTGTAGACAAATCATATGTTGAAGATAAAAAAAAATATATTTTGAAGTTAACAATTGTAAAACTCAAATTCAATTCTATTATACAATTTAAACTAGAGTCATAGCTTATATTAATTTCATAGTCAAGCATCACAATCCTATTCTACAATTTAAACTAGCCTTTGGTACAATTGATCAATCACACTCTTGAAAAGAGTTTTTAGCTGTATGAAAAGCTGACTTTGATTTATGATCAGTCACACCCTTGACAAACGGTGTGAATTCAACCCTTTCAAGGTTACCAAAATCAAAATGTTTTTCTACCTCATTAAAAAGGTTTGACAACCCATTTAGGAAGAAACTAAGTAAAAGAAAGAGAAATTGGATAATATTATAATAACTAACTAACTAACCATATAGTATTCTCCTCCCGCATTTTTACTATATAAATTATATTAATTTTTCTATTTATTTCTTTAGTTTTTGCTTATTTTTCTCCTTCAATCTCATTGCCTAAATTGTTTTTAAACTATACATAAATCAATTTAAAAAATTCAACTGAAAAGTATAATCTTCAATACATATAACATGATTAAAAAAGTTTAATCAAATATTTTCCAAAAAAATATAAGTAAATAATACTTTTCCATTAGTGAGCTACTTGTTTTTCATTTCTAACGTTACTCATCTTTGTTCTCTCGTTAGTTTTAATATACATGCGTATGCATTCATATATATATATATATAGTACATATATATGATTTTTTCATCATTCTTTTGCTTTCGGTACTTTAAAGTTTAGAGTTTTGTTTGCAAAACTTAATAAATGGGTCTGAACAAGTGATATGTCTTTTTCTACTTTGAGATGTAAGAAATTAAGGTTCCTTATGTTCTGTCATCTAGCCATTCTTTTTGTTTAAATATCTCACCCTTTTTGTAAGGTATATTTTCTTTAGAGCATGTATATCTGGACACATACAAAAGAAACATATGTTTTTTCAGCTAATATTTCTTAGTTGTGTATATAGTAGATTTTGATGTTTGTGTTTGAGAGACAAGATGCAATAGTTATATATATATATATATTATACTTAATCTAAACCATTCCATTGTATCTTTTTTAATACAAAGTGAAGATCTGAAAGTATGATTTATTTCCATTAGGAAATTCTTAAAAAATGAAGCAACGTATTATCCAATGAATTACTTATTTTTTCTTTAAAAGAAATATGATAATATATTTTCTCACTAAAAAGGTTTTAAGTACGAGGTAATTATTAATATTAGTGTCTCTCCGCTAGCTTCATTTGAGTTTTGTTAGAGTTCAATATTTTCATGCAAGTGCCATTGCATTATACGATATGAAAATTGTGGCAAGTGTAAGTATTTCACATTTTCAATTTATACTGAGAAGGTAGAATATTAATTCAATAATCTGCAAGGGTTATAATATTTGGCATATTTCTGAAAAGAGGTTTAGGATGTGAAATAATATCAAAATTGACAAAAACAATATGATCCTGAGAGAAAAGTCAACATTACGAAATTATAAATGTGTTTATACGAGAGTACTAGTATCTGGTCTTCGAATCTCTAAAAATATTTTTTTTGATTCAAGATTTTCGGAGAAGAAAAGGGTCAACAACGGAGTGGATAGAGAAGATGAGCAAGAACACATAGAGAATCAGTGCGACTAAACCGGCGATTAGAGCTCCGGTTATCTGATCACAGAATCTTGGCACTTGGCCACAAATTGGTAACCATCCTGCGTTTGCGTTTCCCCTCTTCCCCACTTGTGCTACCGCCACCGCCGCTGATAAGCTTGACGTCAACAACATCGTCACCATCTTCACGGTTAATTTGGCATTTACAAGGCAAACTATGTTAAACACGTAATTATCAAAAGGTACGCAATAAAATGATACAACACTACAATGCATATTGTTCATGGTTAGTATAATCAAATTATTCGTAGCAGCAGTTATTAAAGAAGATAGATGATTATAAGTAGTATAATTAGTTACCAAGTCCAAGACAACAACGAACTTCCACAGCAAACTCTCCTTCGGAAGAAACAAAACGAGAAAGCTATAAACGCTAACAATCGCGTTTGCGATCACGAAGTACCTGCCAAACACACATACATGCATAACGTATCAATTATCATCACAAAACATAGACTATTTCTCTTAAAGTAATTTAACATGCAAGAAAAAGAAACATAAACGCTTACTTAAACGCGGCCAGATCGCTATACTTGGCCACTAGGGAGAGGACAAAGAAGGAAGATCTTTCGCGGCTGGTGACCATTGCGATAACCGCCCCTAATGCAGCGCAAAATGCTGCAAATCTTAGTACCAACCCGCCTAATCTCTGCGTTACCTTCACCATCAGTTAAGCTTTTTTTCTTTCTAATCTCTAGAAATTCTAGCTATGTAAGATAGAAGGAAATAGAGAGAGACAATATAAGAAAACAAAGTCACGAAATATAAACCAAAGTAAAATGAATATGATATTGAATTGTTGGATGGGTTGGTTGGCTATTTTCAACTGTCTCCACCGGTCATGCAAGTTTCACTTCTTCTTCTTTTTTTTTTTTTTTATCAAGCAAAGGAACAATCAGAATTTAAAATGAAAATCTTGATTTCCTAGCAAAAAAGCCTTTTTTTTTTTGTAAAAGAATAATTCTTTATTTAGTGACATCAGGAACAAAATGTTTGTTTTGAAGTGAGTACGTTGACCTAATTAGGTGGGATTTGTCAGTAATCACTATTACACTTTAATAATTGTTTTTTTCGCATGAAAAGTAGACAATGTTGAGTTTGTAGTCATATTTTTATGGTACGTGGTCATCCTATCTAACTTTCCAACATGTAGTTTATTTAAACTACATATAAGATCTAATTAGTACAACTAACCTCTATAAAATCTATATTTTCTAGAGACAGAAGAACATATAAGGCCTCAAACCTCTTTAATATTCATAATATGTCAGTTAGTGATGCAAATATGCATTAGAACAAAAATAAAAAAATTTCTAATTTTTTTGGAAATATGTGGGTAACCCCTTTGAAAAAATTGAATTTTCCGATAAATGCTTTAATATATTTTTAGACACTTTACTGTTGTTTAAAAATATTAAACCACACTCTCAATGTATATTAATGTATGCTAAACATAATTTCGTTGTACATGGTAATCATATCTAACTTTCCAACGAGTAACTTATTTAAACTTCATATACAATCTAATTAGTGCAACTAACCCCAATAAAATCTTTATTTTCTAGAGAAATAGCAACACATAAGGTCTCAAACCTCTTTAATATTCAATATATTTCAGTTAGTGATGCAAATATGCATTAGAACAAAAATATAAAAATTTCTAATTTTTCTGGAAATATGTGGGTTAACCCCTTTGAAAAAAATTGAATTTTCCAATAAATGCTTTAATATTTTTTTAGACACTTTATTGATGTTTAAAAATTTTAAACCACACTCTAAATGTATATTATTGTATGCTAAACACATTTTCATGATACATGGTAATCATATCTAACTTTCCAACGAGAAATTTATTTAAACCTCATATACGATCTAATTAGTGGAACTAACCCATATAAAATCTCTATTTTCTCGAGAAAGAGGAACATATAAAGTCTCAAACCTCTTTAATATTCACAATATGCCAGTTAGTGATGCAAATATGCATTAGAACAAAAATAAAAAAAAATTCTAATTTTTCGGGAAATATGTGGGTTAAACCCTTTGAAAAAATTGAATTTTCCGATAAATGCTTTAATATATTTTTAGACACTTTATTTATGTTTAAAAATTTTAAACCACACTCTAAATGTATATTAATGTATGCTAAACACATTTTCATGATACATGGTAATCATATCTAACTTTCCAACGAGTAATTTATTTAAACTTCATATATGATCTAATTAGTGTAACTAACCCCTATAAAATCTCTATTTTCTCGAGAAAAAGGAACATATAAGGTCTCAAACCTCTTTAATAGTCATAATATGTCAGTTAGTGATGCAAATATGCATTAAAACAAAAAT